GACTGAAGAACAAAAGGACAGCAACTTGTCTGTTCCCCTTCCCCCAATTCCCCAGCACTGTTCCCATCCCCCCAATTCCCCAATTAAAAAAATCTAAAAATAATAATAATAAAAATAACTTTTCTGGTCAACCATCACCAATGTGCCAGCTTTTTGTCCCCTCAGGGTGGCCTCAGCTCCATAACCTGCTGGTGGCCAGAGAAGTGAAGCTCTTTTTCAATAAGATAGCAAACTCCCTCCCAGAGTCCTCTTAACAGAGTCCCCTTATGTTTTATATATTTTAGGGACCAGAACAGGGTCACCAGCCCTCTCCTAACCCAGTCTTGCCCGGGGGAAATGGGATGTCTCTGCTGGCTTCCACCTGTCACAGCTCAGCTCTGAGGCGGAGGGAAGGGACTCGTCCAGAACAAGAGCAAGTAAGCAAGAAGGGAAAAGTCACTGTCACTTTACAGGATGAGCCCCTCGCTGATCCCAGGAAGGAGCTGGGTTCCAGAGTGGTTCCGTCTCTTGTCCAAGGCCACAAACGACTCTGCAGATGGGCCAGGGAGAAAACCGGCCACCAGCCCAGCAAGCTCTCACCACTTCACCTTGTGTCTTCTCAACCGACCATGGCCAACTCTAAGCCCTCGAAGGCAGGAGCACTGTCCCCAGGGCTCTCTGAGCTTGGCCAGAGGCATGATAACGACCAAGTCAACACTGTTACAGAAGAGAGCCCCCAATGTGCCCAGATGCACCTCACCCGCCTCCGAGTTCCACGGCTGGGGAGCCAAAGCGCTTCCTGCCCCTCGAAAGAGCTTGGCAGGCGAGTCAGCGGGAACCCAGAGCCTGACAAACAGCATCTCTGTAGCTGCCTGGACACCTGCCAAGCTGCCTCATTCCCCAGGGCTGACCTCATGTTTCTGAAGAGCCTCAAGACGCCTGAGGTCTGTGTGTTGCCTCTCCTGGTTCAGTTCTGCTGCCAGCAAAGGAAATGGCCCAGGCTGGGGGCCACGCGAAGCGGTAGGGACGAAGAGCCCTGCAGCCCTCCCCAGCAGCCACCCTGCCAGAGCCTTCTGCCTGTGCCACGCAGGCTCATTCCAGAAGAAACTGAGCAACACCCTCTCACCTCTGAGATGACGCCCGTCCTGATTGGTCTTCCTGCCTCCACCAATCCGAAGGTGTCCCTTGAAGGCACTTTCACACTCCAGCTATTTCTGTTTCATTCCGGACTTCTGGAAAGGAACTTAAACTTCATTGGAGGTGCTACGAACATCTCTGAAGTCAGTTGCACCACCTCAAAGAGAGCCGGAAAGCTCACGGCCAGGCTGAGGCTTGTGCTCGGTGACAAAAGTAACTACAGTTAACCCAGAGCCGAACCAGGCACCCACCCCGGCCTTCCTGTGGTCACCCAGTGCACTGAGGCCAGCATGTGACTGAAAGCAAACGCCTTCATGCACTTTTGGCTCCACTTCCAGATATTCTTTCTGGGTCAAACACCTACTGGCATTAGACAATGGACAAGGCCGACAGCAAACAAGGTGAACAGCTTGGGGAAACAGAATGCAGCCAGACTCCCAGGACACATGAGCTCCCTTCCACCTCTTTCCAGAGCAACTCCTAGCGTCGGTACCCACCCACCCAGCCTGCAGCTCCAAATCAAGGCATTTGTTCTTACTCATGTTCACTTAAAAGTTTTTATTCCCCTTATAAAACCAGACACTAACCATCATGTAGGAGAGGAGAGAGGCCTCATTCTTTTGCCATCCTCTCTTTGGCCTGACCAAGGGAGATCAGACACAGCAGCTGGAGGTTTTAAACTTTCCTTGCAGAAGTTTTTCTCGAAACGGTGGCTCCCACTCCTCAGAGCTTGAAATGTCTGCATACCTTGAAAGTATGCAGGCTGCAGGGCTGTGCGAACAGAGTGGAATTTTCCATTTATAGAATAATAACCTTCAAACCACTCTGGGGGCCTCGTTCTCATGGTAAGAGCTCCGAGTTGTGTCAGCAAACCTGCCACGCTTCTGCAGGAGCCCCAAGCCATTCGGGCTCTTTTATTTATTTTTGGTGGGAGAAGGGGAGGAAATAAAGGAATGACTTTTTCACTTGCGCGCCAACACAAACTTGAAAAAGGAACTGGGTTGGCAAGTGCAGATTATTACTGCCTGGTTTCAGGACTTAAATCAACCATTAGGGAGTAGGAGGTGAGGAAGAGATTGGAAAAACATATCTTCAACCCTTCCCAATGACAGGTGGCCAGAACAGGCATCGCATTACTGCCTCAAGTCCTGCCCTGTGCCTGCCGCCTGGTCCCTGGATTGCCCCTGAGGGTGGGGGCCTAGGCCAAAGGCAGGGCCCATCTCACTTCTTCCAGTGTCCCTGTGTTCTACACCTGATTTCTGCTGCTGCACACACAGACTCATAGTCTGAAATATCTTCGGGGTCCATTGAATAGCAGGAAGGCCACCAAGCCAGGCGTGCTGGAGCCCGAGTCCTAGCTCTGCCTGGTACATAGGCACCATGTGACCTTCAAGAAGTCCTCTGAGTCTCATTTTCTTCATCCTGCAAAGTAAGGTTAGATTGATCCCAGAGATCCTTTTCACTGTTGACATTCTGATTCGATCGTTCATTCTAATGTTATCCGGTGCCAGCGCTAGCTTCTAGTCATCCTCTGCTGGGCCATTCTAAACCTGCTGGGCACAGCCAGACCTGTGAGCATGGCCTCACACCTACGGTGGACCTCCAGCACCAGCCACCGGCTTCCTGTTTCAGTAGGGAGGGGGAGGGGGGGAGCCCTGCCACCTGAACAGGCATGTTCCCAGTCCCACAGAACCCTACAAGGACCCTTCCCAGTACCTAAAACTTATCTACCTCCCATGAAAACAAACAAAAATGTTGCCCCTTCTCCTAGGAAGGGCATGACCAACTTGCATCTTCCTAATCAAAAATCTGATTTTTTTTCCATTGGTTTTTAGAAAACTATTGTATCCATATCAAAGTATTAAATTATGATGCTGAATATGCTTTGTCTTTCCAAACTGCACATACACCCCAGATTGTGATCGCTGAGGGAGGGGAGCTTCACACACACACACACACGCACACACCCCAATCCTAGGGCTGGAAGGTTTTCTGGCCCAGTCCCCATTCCTACCTAAGTCAGCAGCTAATGGCCACCCAGTCTCCGAACACCTGTTGCGAGGCCGCTCCGTACTGTGGGAAAGCGCTGCGTCCCTCCACTACTTAGCATGGCGAGAACCACAACTTCGGTGAACCTCAGAGGTTTGTGCGAGGGTTTCATCCAGTTGAAATCTCTCCAAAGCGCTGTACAAACGAAAGTTACCTGATTACTGGGCGGCTCTGACTTTAAAACAGCATCCTTAGATCGCGCCCGGTCCTACCTCCTTACAGTTTTTCTTGCTGATGCTGATGAGAAGGCAGGAAGGGAGAAGGGGCTTTTGGCCCCGGGGAATTAAAGGCGGGGAAGTGCGTGCGTGAACCTTGGGGCCTTGCCTAATCGCCATGCATACCCCCCCTCCTTGGTAAGTCTCACCACCAGGCCAAAGGAGCCCCACGTCACCTGTTCAAGCCCAGGGCACAGAGCTCAGGCAAAGGCCGGCCCCAGCGGCCGCCCCTCCCCGGCTCTCCTCTCCCCGATTTTCCCCTCCCCGCTCGGCTGCGCGGACAGGGCACGCCCCCTACTCCCGCTGCACCAATCAGCGTCCGGAGCGGCGCCCATGGCGCAGGGGGCACTGGTTGGCAGCCAATTAGCGCCGGGGCCCGTGGCGGCGCCTCGCTCGCCCCCTCCCAGAATGAAAGCCGCCCCGCAGCTGGCTAGGCTGGCGCAGCGCGCGGGGCGCAGGAGCTGCGCGGGCTCGAGTGGAGAGCGCGCGTTGCCCGCCCGCCTCCCTCTGCTCCGCCTCCGTCCGGGGCGCGGGCGAGGTGGCCA